AAACATCGAGAGACTAGATCTAAACGTGCAACAATGCAGACATTAATAATATTGTGTCTAGTGGCCGGTAGTGTCCTCATATCAGGGCAACAATACCTGCCCATAGTGTCCAGCTCCTCCATACAATACACGAGTGACCCAGGACTGTGCAATGTAAACAAAGACTACATCCGCGAGTACCGGTCAGCTACTTACGACTTCTGCCTCTTCTCATACAGACCCGTCGCAGTGAGAAGCAATTTCAATTTTGTATACTCTCCCATTTCAATATGGATGATGGTTGCCGCTATAGCAGAAGGTGCTGATCCTTTAACTCAACAGAAACTATTCCAACTCCTGCACCTACCACCCCAGGACCCGTGCTTACGATACGCGTTCTACCAGATAGCGACCTCCCGCGCACTCCCATCTAACGAAGTGAACATTAGAAACAATCGCATCTTATTAATCAACGAAGGCACAACCCTCAATCCAACATGGCATGATATTGTTGTGAAAAATTCTCTCCTCGATGTGGTCACTGCTCCAATCAAGTACAATAGCGTGGCCACAGCTAACGAGATCAAAAGGATAATGTCTGCGCGTCTTCCAACACTTAATCTGAGTGGAAACTCAGTCCTTCTGGACACGATAGATTACAATGGACTCTGGACTACAGCATTCGCAGATGCTGTCATAGAACGAGCACCGTTCTACAGCCACCGAGGGGAAGTATTGGGGAGTGTGGATATGATGAGAGTAAGGAGACGTGCCCGCATGGGGTACATCAAGTCAATACACGCAAAAATATTGGAACTGCCAGTTGGTGCAGATGAACGTTACAGAATGTTGTTCAGTGTTATTATTGGAAATGCCGACATCAAACCAGTAGTGGCTGCGGTGACCAGCGCAACGGTGTTTGAGATGATTGACAGTCTGCGGGAGAGTGCAGTGCCTATAGATGTAGCAATACCACGCATGGTGATCTCGAGCGAGGTCGACGTCAGGGTGATACTGGAAGATATAGGAGTCACAGATATATTTACCGATCCCTCCACCACTAGGTGAGTTTACCATCGTAATATTACTTCTGAGGCTAATGGGATTCTGCTATGTCTTGTAGCAATACTTTGTAGAAGTAGCCTAACCTGAGAATTTATAAAGCTCATAATTTATTTGGAAATCCGATTTGTAACTGGCCTTATCTGTCACAAATACATGTGATGCTACTCCATCAGTGAGGCAGTCAACTAGACTTCACAAAAAGACGTTACAATTAAGAGTATCGATTGCCAAATCTGTATATAAATAATAAATTATATTCGACTTTATTTCGAAATATAGAAGTTTAAGAATTCTATACATTTCCTGCAGGTATGTACATATCGGATCCCCCGGCCTTCCCGAGCAGTTTCCTGCAGCGTGCCACCCTGGTGCTCAACAATACAGGATTATATGCTCCTCCACAAGAGCCGGAAATCTATAACGCCCCGACAGGTCTCGAGCTGGTCGTCGGAAGGGATTTCATTGCCGACCGTCCCTTCCTATTCGGTCTATTCGATGCTGAAACCTATACATGTATCATGGCGGCCGCATACACTTCGCCCTCTTTATAAGTGGTTAGAATAAATGTCGTCATTTATTCTAACCAATCTAGAACTTATTTTATTTTACGTTGGCTAAGAAAATCGACGGTTAGGTCATAGTTAGGTGCCAGGAAGGCAGTGGCGTAACTATACCCGTCGGGGCCCGTGGCAACTTCATCGAATGGGCCCTCGATCCCAATAAAAAACAGAGAAGTTCAGGTGAAAACCTCTGAAAGGGGGCCTTTCCCAGCTGTGGGCCCGTGGCATTTCGCCGGTTTGCCACCCTGTAGTTACGTCACTGCAACAAGGAATTTAGTTTCTAACCGTAAGAGACTAAAGTTAGCTTATCTAATAAGAATGACTTAAAATTTGCCTTTGACCGCACAAAAAAAATCTCCTATTAGATGGGACATAAGTAACTGGTAAGTGGGTGTTTAAATGTTTACAATCAATAGATGTGGAGCACATCAAATGTGATGTGCTCCCCTACTTACGTAAACGTAACGTTATGTTATTAATGTTTATGAAAACTTTGATTATTATTTAGGTAGAGCGCAACTTTTTCTATTAACATATTATGACCAGAATAACAGGTCAGTTCGCATGCTATTTATGACACATTTTTTACATCAAAAATATAATGCTCTTTGACCTATATAAAGAACTGGAATTACAATGGAAATTAGTACATAATATTGAGAGACTACATTTAAACGTGCAACAATGCAGACATTAATAATATTGTGTCTAGTGGCCGGTAGTGTCTTCATATCAGGGCAACAACACCTGCCCATAGTGTCCAGTTCCTCCATACAACACACGAGTGACCCAGGACTGTGTAATGTGAACAAAGACTACATCCGCGAGTACCGGTCAGCTATTTACGAATTCTGCCTCTTCTCATTAAGACCCATCGCAGTGAGAAGTAATTTCAACTTTGTATACTCTCCTATTTCAATATGGACAATGGTCGCTGCAATAGCAGAAGGTGCTGACCCTTTGACTCAACAGAAACTATTCCAACTCCTGCATCTACCACCCCAGGACCCGTGCTTACGATACGCGTTCTACCAGATAGCGACCTCCCGCGCAATCCCATCTAACGAAGTGAACATTAGAAACAATCGCATCTTATTAATTAACGAAGGCACAACCCTCAATCCAACATGGCATGATATTGTTGTGAAGAATTCTCTCCTCGATGTGGTCACTGCTCCAATCAAGTACAATAGCGTGGCCACAGCTAACGAGATCAAAAGGATAATGTCTGCACGTCTTCCAACACTTAATCTGAGTGGAAACTCAGTCCTTCTGGACACAATAGACTACAATGGACTCTGGACTACAGCATTCGCAGATGCTGTCATTGAACGAGCTCCGTTCTACGACCCTCAAGGGGAATTATTGGGAAGGGTGGATATGATGAGAGTAAGGAGACGTGCTCGCATGGGGTACATCAAGGCAGTAAACGCGAAGGTTTTGGAACTACCAGTCGGCTCAGATGAACGGTACAGAATGTTTTTCGGTGTTGTTATTGGAAATGCAGATATCAAACCAGTGGTGGCTGCGGTGACTAGTGAGACGATATTTGAGGTGATTGACAGTCTGCGGGAGAGTGCAGTGCCTATAGATGTGGCGATACCGCGCATGGTGATCTCCAGTGAGATCGACGTCAAGGTGATATTAAAGGACCTGGGCATCACTGAGATATTTACTGATCCGGCTGCCACTAGGTAAGTTTGCAATTATAGTGTTGCCGTGGAAGCTAATGCGTGATTTTGTTTATTGCAATAATTTTTTGTACGCGTGCCTTAAGCTGAGAATTTTGAAAATTGAAAGGTCTTCATACGGAAATCAGATGAAACTTGGCCTTTTTCGTCACCCACACATATGATCGATCACTCGACACACTCGATCAACTCAATGTATATTTCCTGCAGGTACATATCGGATCCCCCGGCCTTCCCGAGCAGTTTCCTGCAGCGTGCCACCTTGGTGCTCAACAGTACAGGATTATATGCTCCTCCACAAGAGCCGGACATTTATAACGCCCCAACTGGTCTCAACTTGGCCCTTGGAAGAGATTTCATTGCCGATCGTCCCTTCTTATTTAGTCTCTTCGATACTGAAACATACACTTGCATCATGGCGGCCGCATACACTTCTCCCACTTATACATAAGCGGTTAGAATAAACGACAACAACCAATGTAATATTCTTTTATTTTACAATGCCTAGTACCCAAACGTACTTGTGAGGATTTTATTTTAATAATAACTTATAACTGACCGAGGTGATGAGATGAAAAGTGAGTGTAAGATTAACACACCTCTGCCTATGCCATTCGGAGATTAAAGGTGTGATATTATATTATCCCTATGATGCCTCCAATCGTCTATAAATAGTTTTAAACCAAAATGAGCGAAAACAGTCCTGCCGTTTTGGAGTTGTAGCGAGACTGACGAACCGCCTTTGATTTGTTATTGGTACAGGTTATGTCGGTTATGCTAATTATCATTAAAGACTCACTATATTACCTACTTCACGCTCACTGTTTTTAACGGATGACTACAGTCGTTTAAAACACCCTTATTTTACGTAGTTATCACAAAGAGGTGTAGCGTTTTCATGCACTCTTACTTACCTGAATACTCCTTTTAATTGTGACCAACCAACAGAATGTTTAACATTAAAAATCTATAAAAGTTTACCTACTAACCTAAATATTCTTTTCACTGTTCTACTTGAAGCTCATTGTTAAATTGTATTAAAACCTGAGACTCCATGATCGATAGCCGTACCGTCGACCACTCGCTTATAGGACACGAAACTATATCGATTATATTTACGTCATCACCGACGGTCATAACATAAGTGACTTGTATTTTATTTGTTGTACAATTTTGGAAAACATGCGGTTTGGGACATTCTCTCACAAATATATTTTATTCGTAATCATTTAGGCATCAGCTGTGCGGTGCTTTTTGTTGCAAACGATCAAAAGTTAATTTCTTATCTGAAAGAGGTCCTTGCGCAAAAAATACAAGGGATAGCCCTTGTATTTTTTATTAAAACCCTACATCGGTTTAAGCAATTTGTATGACATGCGTTTTTCCTGTTATATTGATTTTGGTACTACCTATACTCGCACGTAAGCTACCGATAACCCGATATGATTAATGTATGTTAAATAATTAATGAAGAATTAAACGACAAAACCTGATTAATTCATTGAACACATGAGACTTCTCTTTAACGATTTTAAGTGCATCAAAAAGGACAACTTATTTATATAAATCCTTCGACATACGTATGTATACTACATTTATTTTTTTGTTTAAATTGCGATCACTTGTCGCTCAGTATAAAAACATAAATATTCAAATACCCCTTAGTACCTTTTCCTTCATATTAAGAACCAGACGTGTTTGGAACATGCATATTATACTGTTAACCTCGCTTGCTGCGACACTCGCGGCGTGCAGTCCGGAACCTCACAGCTTCAACTTGGACGGCACTCATATCTCCGAACCATGTAACTTGTACGAAGATGTGTCGCGGAAATTTCGGGCGGACTTGTACAATATCAGTCTTATAACGTACCAGGCACTCGCCAGACGCAGTGATCTCAACTACGTGTATTCTCCACTCTCGATATGGCTTACATTAGCTGGATTGGCAGAGGGAGCAGACTATCACACTCAGCAACAGCTGTTCAACTTTTTAAAACTCTCCACGGACGCCTGCAGCCGACAGAAATACTACCGGCGGGCTACTTCTCGCATCGTCCAGTCTGATGACGTCAATATTATTAACAATCGTATTCTACTGATCGACTCTGGCGTCACACTCAACCCCACCTGGTACGATCTAGTGTTGAAGAACAACCTCCTTGAAGTACTCAGCGCTCCTTTACGAAGTAATCCTATCTTAACTACCATTGAGGTGAAGCAGTTGACGAATATTCATAATTCAAGACTCGACTTAACAGGCAATTCAATTCTACTGGACACAATCGACTATAATGCTCTTTGGACAACAGAATTCGAACATGCGAAAATCGATCGATCTCCGTTCTTCAACCAAGTTGGAGAACTCGTAGGATTCGTGGATTTAATGAGGATGAAGAAGCGTGCTAGGTTGGGGCACATCAAGAGCGTGAATGCGAAGGCGCTAGAGTTACCGGTTGGTCAGGATGAGAGATTTAAGATGGTGTTCGTAATATTCCTGGAAACAAATGATGTGAACCAGAAGCTGAATATATTGGACACAAGTGTTGCATTCGAAGTTTTTGATTCGTTCAAGACTAGCTACGTACCGGTAGAGGTGGCTATACCTCGCGTTTTGATCACCAGTGAGGTGGACGTGAGGTCGATGCTTGAAGAATTGGGTATCACAAGTTTATGGAACGATCCTGTGGCAACGAGGTAGCTATACTCAATCGTTTTTATTTAATTTACTATCTTTGGATATTTTTTTCTTGTAAAGATTGGCGGTTTAACAGTTTAATAATATTATTGAATCTATTTCCAAAACCCTATCGGTCTGTAACGAAGCCAAAAGATACCGATAAATCTCCTTAGGCCTATCAAAATAATATACCTACTTTGCCAACAATCACTACAAGTTCTTGCGCGCGTCCAAAACATATATAGGCTCTAAAAATAGAAATGATACTCGCTATTAGAAGGGTGTCTATAACAAAGATACCTAATTTCAACTTGCAATAAAAATTATTTATCGTGAAACAGGAACATATCGAGTCCGTCAGCTCTGCCGAGAAGCTACGTGCAGCGCACAGCCCTGACCTTAGACAACAGAGGCCTGTTACCGCCGCCTCCGCCAGAAATACTCGGCCCGCTCGACACTCCAGTCACCGGCTTGGACCCGAAGCTCGGAAACGACTTCATAGCAAACCAACCCTTCTTCTTTGGACTATTCGACTCAGAATCCCTTACATGTATAATTGCGGCTGCGATCTCCGCACCTACATACAAATTCTAAGACGTGTTTTTTTAGTTTATTTAAAAATTGATTTCGCTCTCACTGGGAAACGGGTCTAATGATTTGGGTGTTATAGTTTAAAGTTAGTAAATGAGGTAGATTCTGAAATATTTGTAGTTAAAATTCATATACAAAACGCATTTAAACAACATTCTATCAAAACTGTGTATTTGTAGACGATATATTTAATATCCACCAACACACACAATAAAATAAAGGACGATCGTAAAACTGCGAAAAATAGTCCTTTGACATTTAGTTTGTTTAATTTGTCGACAACGCACGGTGACCAGTATAATTATACTTATCCACATAAGCAGCTACATGATAGTTAAACATTTTTATTTATTGTAATAAAAATATCAACAACTATTACTTCCGACAACAATATGACGCATCCAGTAAAGAAACCTTGAAACTGCACGAATGAAGGCCCTTCATCTGCTTCGGCCGAAATCAATAACAGTTCTCAATTGAAATACCTTTATTGCTGAACACAGTACATTTAGATGCATTGCAAGATGTTACATGAATGCGCAGTTCACCATGTTCCACCAATCAAGGCATGCAATACAGTATTTGACAAATAGTCAAATTCAATACTTTTTTCGAACTGTCAAAAACGACAGTTTTCTATGAATTATGGACGAGATTGTGAATTGTGATGTCACGATTGTGATGTCACGATTGTGTTCGTCAAACAGCGTACCAATTTTATTTAATTTGCTGGAATAATACTAAAATTAAGTTGGTCATAAAATCAATTAATGATTGTGTGATTATTTTTTATTGTATTGAACAGCTTAAATCATTTATTTTTTATTGAGGAAAGTAGGTACCCAATTATTATATCTAAACTAGCGGCCCGGTACGTGCTTCGCTACGTATAAAGTGAAATAAAATAAACAAATCGGAACATCAAATTCATTTATTTAATCAAAAAAATATTTTATTTAAAATCGAAATCAATTGCTAGCTATTTACAACACACTTAATCCAAAACATTTGGATAAACAATATTTTTTGTTTTTCCATTTTGAGCATAAATAAACAAACGGCTGGGGGTACCGACTCTGGAACAGGCAACATATAACTGGCCATGTGAAAAACAATGTTCCTCCAAATTCACACCACAAACGTGAAGTGTTTGACCTTGGGCCTTGTTGATGGACATCGCAAATGATAAACGCACAGGATATTGTAAACGTTTGAACTCAAAAGGCATATCAGTTGGAATCATAGGTATACGCGGTATCAAAACAACTTCTCCTTTTGATTTACCAGTTAAGATCGTAGCTTCAATCAAATTTGGCAATAACTTTTTCACTGCCAATCTGGTTCCGTTACACAGTTTTGGTGGATTAATATTTCGCAATAATATAATCGAAGAACCAACTTTCAGATTCAAGCAATGCGGTGGCATACCAGCCGGCTCCAATGAATTTAAAAATTCAATTGGATAATTCATTGCCTCATCTTGATTCATAACACTGTCAATTGATTTATATTTCGTGACTACGCCTGGCAGTTTCGCTTGAATTTGAAAATTAATTGCATTGACATGAATGTTTTTCGGTGCTAAAATGGCGCGTTCTGTCAACCAATCATGATTTCTGTAATTCTGAACAATATTCGGAAAAACACATTCAATCAATTCATCTATCGATTGCGCAATTGTACAAAAATTGTTCGGTACAGCGATCAATCCGTTGGTTCTGTCGATTTGTATTTTGCCGTCACCAATTTCTAACAATTGTTTTGAGAACTCATGGGCAGCTGGTACACATAAATTCAGGACTCACCGTTTGTATGAATGCACTGCAAATGCAATTATGTGAAAAGAAATTTATCGTTGATAATATGCTTTAATCAAACCACGTCCAAAATGAACTGACGGCATGAATGACATAACAACGTGCTTGTCCTGTCAACAAAACTTCAAAAAAGTTTCTGTGAAAAAAGTTTCTATTGAATTCATTTATTACAAAAAATGTGACAAATGAGGAACCGCTCGACCGATTTTGTGCAAACTTCACATAAACCATCTACTAAATATGCCGACCAAATCCTAAACATTTGGTTTGGATAGGTGAGCCCGTTCTTGAGTTATGGAATTACAACGAAAAGTGGCATTGATTTTTATATATATAGAAGATTATAATCGAGGAGCTTCAAATTACAGCAATTGTATTTATATTATACCTGGATTGAACTAAAAACAGAAACTGCATACAACTGTTATTAAAAATCGATCTCATTCCAAAACTTTGAGATTAAGATCGATTGCACGGTTGGCGCGGTGGTTGGGCAACTGACTGCCGCGCAACGTGTCGCGGGTTCGATTCCCGTACGGAACGATCCACAGATTGTTGTTCCGGGTCTGGGTGTAATGTGTACGTGAATTTGTATGTTTGTAAACGCACCCACGACACAGGAGAAAATCCTAGTGTGGGGTATGTTTAAAAAAAAATAAGATCACGTATTTATTCCGGCTGTTGAATTTTCTTATTTGTCCTATAGTTTGACCTCGGAACATATGAGGATAGAAATCGTCAACCGTAGTACAGAATATTATAATGAATACAACATTAGGCTAGGCCAAATACTTTTTCTAATTGGACTCATATTTTCAGAAATTAGCGCATTTTATTACTACTGCTACATGATGTGCATGTATGTTATTAATATACATACAATACATACACCAAAATAACAATTTTTACAATTTGTGTCTGTTGTCTGTTTGCACTTTAGTACTAATGTCTAAAATAGGTGGGCCGATTTTGACGGGACTTTTATTGGCAAGTAGCTGATGTACTAAGGAGTAACTTAGACTTTTCCCATGCGGACGAGGTTGTGCGTAATAAAATCTTAGCACAAGTACATTCAGTACACTGAAAATGTCGAAAAGGTATACTTTCACAACAAAAACAGCACCTACAAATGTTATATTAATAATTTTAATTAGCATTCAACATTCTCTTTTGAAGCGATACTCTGTACATAGCCCAGTAGGTACCTAACACAACGGAACGTTCCATTTACAGAGAAAAGGTTAAACTAATTAAATTTAAGTGTTAAGAACCGACGAAAAATCGTGTTGAAATGTTGTCCAGCCTACGAAATAATAAGAAATTAGCTCCATCGCCATTTTGAGGCAGATACTAGTTAAACATTCAGGTTTAAGCCTTTGTTCTACCTACTGACGGATTAGTTTTTTGTTTCGTTCCAAAATGTTGTCTATTTTAGGATATTGTGAGCTGTCTACGATTTTATTAAGTGAATTTTTACAATGGGTGCCTAGATAAAACGATGTCTTATGGAGTCTTTGACAAAATAAGGTTTGTACGGAAAGACATAAGGTATTCAATTGATTGCACTAATCATACCTCGTAATTTCGCTATAAAGTCTAAAATCCATTGAGGAATTTAAACATAAGACGAGATATCTATCAATGACTAGTGTTGCCCAAATGCAAGAACAAGACGAGACTTAGCCAGTCTTGGTCTTGGTCTTGCGCCAATACACCTGGTCTTGGTCTTGGTCTTGGTCTTGCGCTCCCAGTCTTGGTCTTGGTCTTGGTCTTGCAGCAAGAGTCTTGCAAGTCTTGCAATTACCTATTAGTCTATTACTATTTATTAAAGTTTACTTTAAATCTTAGAAAAACGTATTAGAATTGGAACATTGTGAGCTTGAATTAACATAGCCATAGTAAAGATCAAGCAGATTAATAAATAACTGAAGATTAAGAAATATAATGACTAAATGTACAATAATAGTACCTAAGTAATTAGTTTAAAACCATATAAGTAATCAATATTATAATATATACTTACAAGAATGAATTATGACATCTACTACCTATCCTTACCATTTTATCCTAATCATAATACTACTTGCGTGATCAGTATAATGTGTTCATTTTCATTCTAAGCACTCTGAAACTTATTTATTCTTTGGAACACCTTTAGGTACTCTTAAAATTCGAAATTATTTTGCATGAGTATACCTACGCCCTATGGCGGCAATCAAATAGTGTCAAATGTTATAAAACAATCGTTGCCGCCAGGCAACGATTGTTTTAGATTTCAAAAGAAGCCGCCGGCGCGTGTATCATAACCATGTACTTCCGAAAAGCGGCAAATTTCTTTGAGAAGTAAGTACAAAACCTTTGATGCCGCATTATCAAAGTGCCGATGGTTAAAGCATAACTATGCATGCACTCAGTTTGATTTTAATAGATATTTTTTTATTCGCTATGTTTATGGTATTAGTCGTAATGCGCATAGGTCCAGTTTTTCATATTCTTTGATACAGTTTTTTGCGTCTCATAGAATTCCTAAGCGTACCTACCTATACACCGAACTGTTACACCTAACTACTCAGAAAATAGCGCTAAGTCCTAGCTGCAAGACGCAAGAGTCTTGCAGGCTATGTCTTGTTCTTGCTCAAGTCTTGCACGGTCAGTCTTGGTCTTGGTCTTGCTAAAAATACGCGGTGTTGTTCTTGGTCTTGGTCTTGCAAAAACGCAAGAACAAGACCAAGACTGCAAGACCAAGACTGAATTTGGGCAACACTATCAATGACCAAATAAAGCAGATAGGAAACCAGTATTAGGAATATCTAAGTAGGTAATTAATTGTGGTGACTTAAAAATAACAAGAAAAACAACACAAAATGCCCGAAAACTAAATATATTTTCGGAACTAACCTATCTAAGGTTAGGTTTGGAGTAAGCTCCAGCATAAAGACAGGTTCTAGTCGCCGTATCAAACAGTGCGAATAAGAAAGGTCTGTCAACAATGAAGTCTTGTCCCCTGCCTATTATGTTATTGACGTATCGTCTCTGAGGCGGCGGCTCCACGCCCCGGCTGTCCACGCTGACCAACACACGCTGGATAAAGTTGCCAGGCAATGCTGAGGGTTCTGATACGTATCTGTAAAGAGAGAATAATATATTAACTATTGTTTGCTCTATAATAAAATAAACTTAAGGTAGATCACG